ATGGTGGAAAATAAGTATTTGGTCAATAACAAAAGTTTCTCAATACTTTGTTATATACCCTTTGTTGGCAATGACACAGGTCAAACGTTTTCTGTAAGTCTTCACAAGGTTTTCACACACTGTTGCTGGTATTTTGGCCCATTCCTCCATGCAGATCTCCTCTAGAGCAGTGATGTTTTGGGGCAGTCGCTGGGCAACACGGACTTTCAACTCCCTCCAAAGATTTTCTATGGGGTTGAGATCTGGAGACTGGCTAGGCCACTCCAGGACCTTGAAATGCTTCTTACGAAGCCACTCCTTCGTTGCCCGGGCGGTGTGTTTGGGATCATTGTCATGCTGAAAGACCCAGCCACGTTTCATCTTCAATGCCCTTGCTGATGGAAGGAGGTTTTCACTCAAAATCTCACGATACATGGCCCCATTCATTCTTTCCTTTACACGGATCAGTCGTCCTGGTCCCTTTGCAGAAAAACAGCCCCAAAGCATGATGTTTCCACCCCCATGCTTCACAGTAGGTATGGTGTTCTTTGGATGCAACTCAGCATTCTTTGTCCTCCAAACACGACGAGTTGAGTTTTTACCAAAAAGTTATATTTTGGTTTCATCTGACCATATGACATTCTCCCAATCCTCTTCTGGATCATCCAAATGCACTCTAGCAAACTTCAGACGGGCCTGGACATGTACTGGCTTAAGCAGGGGGACATGTCTGGCACTGCAGGATTTGAGTCCCTGGCGGCGTAGTGTGTTACTGATGGTAGGCTTTGTTACTTTGGTTCCAGCTCTCTGCAGGTCATTCACTAGGTCCCCCCGTGTGGTTCTGGGATTTTTGCTCACCGTTCTTGTGATCATTTTGACCCCACGGGGTGAGATCTTGCGTGGAGCCCCAGATCGAGGGAGATTATCAGTGGTCTTGTATGTCTTCCATTTCCTAATAATTGCTCCCACAGTTGATTTCTTCAAACCAAGCTGCTTACCTATTGCAGATTCAGTCTTCCCAGCCTGGTGCAGGTCTACAATTTTGTTTCTGGTGTCCTTTGACAGCTCTTTGGTCTTGGCCATAGTGGAGTTTGGAGTGTGACTGTTTGAGGTTGTGGACAGGTGTCTTTTATACTGATAACAAGTTCAAACAGGTGCCATTAATACAGGTAACGAGTGGAGGACAGAGGAGCCTCTTAAAGAAGAAGTTACAGGTCTGTGAGAGCCAGAAATCTTGCTTGTTTGTAGGTGACCAAATACTTATTTTCCATCATAATTTGCAAATAAATTCATTAAAAATCCTACAATGTGATTTTCTGAAAAAAAATTCCTCAATTTGTCTGTCATAGTTGACGTGTACCTATGATGAAAATTACAGGCCTCTCTCATCTTTTTAAGTGGGAGAACTTGCACAATTGGTGGCTGACTAAATACTTTCTTTCCCCACTGTACACTGAGTGTACAAAACATTAGGAACATGCTCTTTCCAGGACATAGACTGACCAGGTGAATCCAGGTGAAAGCTATGATCCCTTATTGATGTCACCTGTTAAATCCAATTCAAATCAGTGTAGATGAAGGGGACGAGACAGGTTAAAGAAGGATCTTTAAGCCTTGAGACAATTGAGACATGGATTGTGTATGTGTGCCATTCAGAGGGTGAATTGGCAAGACAAAATATTTAAGTGCCTTTTAATGGGGTATGGTAGTAGGTGCCAGGCACACCGATTTGAGTGTTCATCAAGAATGGTCCACCACCCAAAGGACATTCAGCCAACTTGACAACTGCGGGAAGCATTGGAGTCAACATGGGCCAGCATCCCTGTGGAACGCTTTCGACACCTTGTAGAGTCTGTGCCCCGACGAACTTAGGCTGTTCTGACGGTAAAAGGGGGTGCAACTCAATTTTATGAAGGTGGTCCTAATGTTTTGTACACTCACTGTATTTCATGATGTGTAGCCTAAAATCTGTGATTTAGTGCATTTTTAGAATAAGCCACCTCAATATTTGCAGCCGTAGGTGGTAATATCCTCTACGAGCTGATCCATCGTCAGTATTGTGAGATAATTATAATGTTACGGAAATATTTGAATGGAGAAAGCTGATCAAAGAGCAGCGCTCCCCCTTTCTTTCGATACTATCAGTATCGACACATGCTCCAATGACGCACTTAGCGGCCGTTCTCTCTGCGTGGTGTTTAAGGAAATGCATGTTACATCTTCGGCCGTTGTGGGAAAAATGCATTGTTAAAACACTTGTAAGCCTAAATTCCATCGCTATCGTGAAACCGGGCCCAGACTGTTTTGACAGTCTTGCATTGACCACCAGACGAAAGAAAGAGAAAAAAATACTTATGAGTTGAACATAACAGTATGCCAGTGGAAGGTAGGACAGTAGCAAGTGACCCAATTGTGGTTTGTGACAACTATGATTTCCCATTGTAGCCAATGCAATTGCAGTAATTCCATTACTGAATTTCTGTAATTCCATTACCGATTTGGTAATGGATTTACGAGTTTTAATCACTTAATAATTCAGAAACAAACTTGAGATCAGTAAAAACACTGACTAATTGGTAGGTCTACCTTTACTTCTTACTTCTGTGAACTTTCATTATCCTCATTCCTCATGAGGGAGAGAAATTAGAAAATATCTTAAAGATATGTGGGTTTTTCGTAACGGAATTACAAGGCTCAAGGCAATGTTTCTTAAACTTACAGAAGGCAAATCATTTCTCCAAATATAATTGTTGATATTAGTTGGTCTTTACTTCAGCATTGTTGTGTTTTGATGTATATCTAATACCTTTTAAGGTAGACCCCTTTTCCATCTGTTTAACCAGAAATCAAAGCATTTGCTTATTCCACATTTTTGGGATGGAAAACGGTTGGAAACAAAATTGACTCCGCTTTCACTTGACACCCAATTTGCACATGCGCCTATGTACTTCACGTTAGCGCTTATGGGTCCTTTTAGATGGAAATGCCCATATCCGACCAGACGTTAAAAGGCCTATTTTAACGATGAATTACATCTAAATTAAATTGTCCATGTTACACACATGACATTTGAAATGCTTAACTTAATAAAACAACAAACTTTCAAATGTGGTATTTAACTACTGCTGCTTGAGACGTCATGCGGCTTTGACAGTAGCCTACATCGTTTACAGTTGCGGACTGTAAATGTAACCTAGAGTTCTGAGGAGGCGCAAAGCTAATTTTCTCTCTCATGGGCTATGAGTTGCGTTTTACATGAAAAGGCATTTTACTATTATAGGCCATTTAGCCCTTCGGTCAGCCCTGACAATGGTATGCTATTGAAATAGGGATTATAAACTGGGTGGGTCGAGCCCTGAATGCTGATTGGCTGACAGCCATGGTATATCAGACTGTATACCACGCGTATGACAAAACATTTATTTTTACTGCTCTAATTATGTTGGTAACCAGTTTATAATAGCAATAAGGCACCTCAGGGGTTTGTGATATATGGCAAATATACCACGGCTAAGGGCTGTGTTGTGTCGTGCGTAAGAACAGCCCTTAGCCATGGTATATTGGCCATATACCACACCTCCTCTGGCCTAATTGATTAATTAGCCTACAGGCACACACCAACGGAGGGTCCACAACACAAGACACAGATCAATGCAAAGCACTCACCAGAAAACTTTTTTTGAAACAGAATCAGTTCTATTGTCGCAAACATACGACTTCTGTTTCACTGTTGCTGTTAGCCTAACCATAGCACCGGTTCCAATCCACGTGCCAATGCCATTTTGCAAACTCCAGTTTGTTGGATGACATGAAAATGGCAGGAGCGTCGAAAACAGCCGCCGATTTTAATTGGCTGATCTCTCAGTTTATCACCATCTAGCTCAACCCCTTAGAACCTCACCCTACCTTGTGGACTTCAAAGTGCAAGCAAAGCAGCGAAAGTGATTTAAACAAGGAAGTGAGTTCAGAAAATCTGAAAGTACGCATCTTAGAAATAGTTTTCATATATAAACGTTATATGCCCAAAAATAATATGGTTACGGTGATTGGCGATTTTCGCAATCTAATACAACTGTCACAGGCTCGCTCCCTCACGATTTCCACTAGCTTTCCACAGATTCCACAGCCAAAAAAAAAAAAAAAAAGAAGAAGCTTTTTGGTCATTTAAGTTTAGGAATAAGGTGTGGTTAGGTTTAAAATCAGATTTTAAGAAGCCACTTTGTGGCTGTGTTAACTAGTGACGAACCTCTCCCGCCTCAATTCAGAGCTACGCCTGATTAGTTTCATTTACTCAGAATTTGAATTGATTAGCATGTCACTGAGTAAATCCACACTCCCTAACTTCCAAACAGTCCCACACTGTTACTAGGCTCTATGCACTGGCAATTCAATCCTGGGGTTAAGATCCCTCCCAATGTGTTCTCCAATCTCATAAAACATTTTAGAAAAAAGCTCAGCGCCTTTACTCTCACAAGGTGAAGTATTGAAAGGTATTGAAAAAATTATTTTGAAGAAAATAAAAGTATTACTTGTTAAACAAAATCTTTCTCTGAGCAATTGAATTATTTCACTATTTGAATATAATTTAGAAAAAATGTTGAGGATATAAATATAGCTCAGTATTTGTATTATTTATTTTATAGTCTTTTTTGCAAAAAAAATTCAAGGGTGCCAATCATTTTGGACCTGACTGTATGTACTGAACGCCACTTCAAGGAAATTTCAATCATATTAATAAAGCCAAACACAGTTCCTCTATACATTTCCTTGCCAAGACTCAATGACCAGATATGCAACATGCTCATGAGCTATTGTAAGCAGATGGTATAAGAACACTAGCTTCTGTTGATTTTGAAGGGAGTATTTTTTCCGTTCTTCAAAAGACTGAACATCCTGAGTAAATATTATTTGCCAAATGCTTCCAGTCTGAAATTAAACACATGGTGTTTCGTTTTTTGAGTCAGATTAGTGAAGTGACAAATCTAAAAACACTGAGCAGAATTATTTCCTCATGCTTGATACTAAATTGTGGGGCCTCCACAAGGTCTGCTAATACTTGTCTGAAAGACAGTTTGTACAGAAGTTGTACTCACCATGGGCCGAGTCTGCCAGGGTGTGAGCTCCTGAGAACTGACAGGCTCGTGGGGGATACTCCTCCGCAGACCTCCCTCAGTGGGCGACAGGGAGCTCTTGCTCCGGCGCACTGGCTCGGCAATGTCCCTGGTGGTCACCACACTGTTCTTAATCCTGCGCATATACAGCTCTGCTGGTGACGGCTTGGCTGCCCATGATATAGAGGCCCCTGTGGCATTAACCGTCTCCTCCTTGTCCAGGACAGTGGTGGCGCGGTAAGCCCTCCATGTGGTGGCAGACTCTGCCTCGTCCTCAGAGGCCACCCCGTCCATCCTGGCCCCCTGGCCAGGCTCGTCCACGGACGCCGCCCCCCTGTTCTGCCAAGTGCTCCGCACCGTCAGGTTTCTCATCTCTGGGAGGCTGTCGTCCTGGGAGGTGTGGTGGCCGTGGTGGTGGCTCCTCCAGCTGGTGACGGTGGTAGTGCTGCTACTGCTGCTCTCGAAACCCGACTCGGTGTCGTTGTTGAAGTCTGAGGTGGTCTCCGGTGACTGGAGGCTGAAGCTGCTTCGGGAGAGTAGGTGCGTCTCCGCACGGGCCATCCCTAGCACCCCTGGTTGATCTGTTTCGTCAGGGCCATCCATGGATGGCCGGAGGGTGATCTCACTCTTGGGAATGGAGATCTCATAGGGGATGGAGATGCTCCCCCTGTGCTCACTGGGCCCGATGACAATGTTGCTAGTGGACGTGTGGCGTTCCTTGACTGGTGGCTCGCTGGATACACTGCTGCTGCGGCTGCTGGTCCTGGAAGAGCTGGGATCGTTGGGGTAGATAGTGATGCTGCTGGTCATCTTGCTGGTGGTCAGGACGGGTTTCGAGGAGATTTTGGGCTTGCCATTGGAGGTCAAGCGCTCTGCCCCGCCTCCAGATATCATAACTTCCTTCCTATCGATCTCCACAATGGCCGGCTTGATGACTGCCTTTGACCTCAGGGCCTCCCTTGGGCTGCAGACCCTGTGGATCGCTATCCCTGATGGGGTGTGAGTGGGCTCCAGGGATCCTCCTTCTGCCACCAACTGCCTGTGCTGCTCCTCGTCAATCGAGCTCCTGGTGGAGGAACCCTCTGACTGGGAGTCTTGTAGGCGAGAGTATCTAGAGTACTTGGGAGTGGTGGAGGTTCTGCTACTCAGTGCTGCCACCTCAGACACAGGCTCTGGTTCTGAGGGCCTGGACCCAGTGGATTCAGTCTCAGAGGCTGAGGAGTGACCCTCAGAGCCATGATCAGTGACCAGCGGGGACACATGGGACTTGTAGGCAGTGTACGACCCATTGGCCTGTGAGAGGTTTGACACTGGAGGAGCCTCTTGAACCAGGTCCAAAGACTCCGGGTCAGACGCAGATGCATCCTTTTCAGGAGGGGAGACTGTGTTGCTGTTGCTTAAGCTTTCAAGCACCACATCAGAATTATTCGACTCACTGTCACTACCAAAATACAATCTAGAAAACTTATCCACTCTGCTCTTTTTGCCTTCACTTTCACTTTGTTTCTGAGCTGTCTTCCATGGCTTCTGGTCATTAACTGCTGGAGGGTAGCGATTAAGAACCGAGACCTTCTTGCTGTCACTCAAAGATGTGCTAACTGGAATATGGGCTCCTCCCATTGTTATTTTGTCCTCCAGCCCTCTCCTTATTTCTTTTACTCCATTGTCAGAGGCAGTTGAGGCTCCAGTCTTCGGTGTCCTCCTGCTCTTGTGTGCAGGACTGAGTGCCCTCCTGACAGACTTTGGAGAACTTTCCTCAGAGTTGCTCAGCTCTTTGCTCCTCAGCTTGGTCTCCCTCTTGTGCTGTGGGGATAGCTCTCTGCTCTTGTACTTGGGGGTGGCTGGCTCTGCAGCTGCAGCACTCCTGTACTTAGGCTTGTCCTGCCTGAACCCACCCCGGACATTAATCTCCTCATTCTCTGCCTTGCCATTCTCAAGGACCGTTGCTGGACTGCTAGGCCCTCCATTGCCGTGACTGCTGCCACTGCACAGCTGCATTCTAAGCTGCTCCACCTGATCGTTGAGGGCACGGCTGCGGGACCTCTCCTGTTGGAACTTCTCCTGCAGCTCTCCGTTCTTGGACTCAGTGTTCTTGAGATCCTCCTCCACCAGTTCCAGTTGCTTCAGCCGGTTCTTCAGCCTCTCAACTTCCTGGGTGAGTTCCTTGACTTTGTTGTCTTCCTGGCCATCAAGGCTGTTCTTCTCGTTCTCAGACTTCTTCCTTAGCCCAACGTCATCGCCCAGTTTCATGTAGTCCAGGCTCTTCTTGAGCCCCAGCTTGCTAGTCAGGCCAGATGAGAGGTCGTCTTCAATGCGGAGGTTCCTCAAGTCTGAGCGGCTGGGATCTGCTCGGCCGAACCTGTTCTTCTGACAATCCAGCTTTTCTGTCAGTTTTAGTATAAGCTTCTCATCCTCCCTTTGCTTCTCCAGGAGCCTCTTCCTCTCACTCACAAAAGTCTGACTGACACCCTTGAGCTGCTCCAGCTCCCCTGCCAGGAACTTCTCAGCCCGGTCCAGCCTTACCTCTGATGCATCCATTTCGATCACACGGGCCTTGAGGGCCTCTAGCTCAGAGGAGAGCTTCCGGGTCAGATTCTTCTCTTCGTTGAGATTGAGGCACAGCTGGCTGCAGTCTGACTTGCTCTTGCCGAAGGCCTCTTCCAACTTCTCCAGCTCAGCCATCCTCCTCTGTAGGCACTCAATCTCAGACTTTAGGTCCTTGGTCAAGCTCTCCTCCTCCTCCAGTTTCTCCCTCACTGTGCGGCAGAGATCTTCCGCCTTGCACACTTCCTCGTCTTTGCCTTCAATCCTCAGCAGGCGCTTGCGCAGCGCCTCTACATCGCCCAGCATGGAGGAGTTGCTGCCCTCTGCCTGGATGATCTTGTCCTGCAGATCCAGCAGCTCATCTTCAGACTTCTGGAGCTTGTTGGTGGCCTCCTCAAGCTCGTCCAGCCGTCGCCCCAGGCTTTGCAGCTTATGACGCAGGTGGCGACTCGTTATGTCTTTGTTTTCAGACATCACAGAGATTATTGCTGTTGTCTTCTATATGGAAAGGGGAAATTATTTGACTACTTTTTGGGAGGTCCACATTTGTGTGGCAGTCCTTCTCTGGTTAAAATTATGAGTCACAAGTCTGTAATGTTGAGTTGTGTTCAGTCCCTTTCTCCTCTCCACACAACGTCGTCTCCCTTTTTCTTTGGTTGGTTCGTATTCCTTCAACTCCCCTCAGCTTGATGGTCAACATGGGTGTCGATCACCTGAATGAGAAAAAAAAAGAATAGAGTTGCAACAAAATTCACCACAGTATTGAATTACATTTTACATTTACATTTTAGTCATTTAGCAGACGCTCTTATCCAGAGCGACTTACAGTTAGTGAATACATATTTTTTTATACTGGCCCCCTGTGGGAATCAAACCCACAACCCTGGCGTTGCAAACGCCATGCTCTATCAACTGAGCTACATCCCTGCCGGCCATTCCCTCCCCTACCCTGGACGACGCTGGGCCAATTGTGCGCCGCCCATGAGTCTCCCGGTCGCGGCCGGCTGCGACAGAGCCTGGATTATTACTGACTGACCTCAATGACAAAGTGATTCAGAGGATCAGCAAAAATTAAAGTAACTGTTGAGAAATAACACATAACAAGAACAGTGAAAGAGTGTAGTCCAGAGAGAGTGAGAGATGGTTTGACTTTAATTGATTGCACAGTGTAGCAGACCTGCACACTCAGCATATGATTTCACAGTTCCGCCTGATTACTGCAACACAAACCATGAGAAAAGCTGGGCCGGCCCAAACACACCCAGTAATGCAAAGGGCTGGGGCAAATGGGTGGGAAAAAAGAGGAGCAGCGTAATTCAGCACGTACACACATATGCAAGTGCTCATGCACAGTAACCTAGACAGATTATTAAGAAGATCACGACAACCAAAATGACATGCTTTGACTGCAATTCTACGAAGATACATTTCACCTTGCCTGGTCGTATGGCCACTGGAGAGTAACATTAAAAAGAACGCTACTCCACCCTTCTTGCCTCCTGCAGCCTCCTCCAATGTCCTAGCATTGATTTATCTGCCGTTTATGCTGACAGCAGTATATTTCAATGACACAAGCATCCACTCACATGGCTGTCACCACGGAAACACACACAGGGAATTGCTACACACCACTCATGATTAGGACAATGGAGACATACACTGAGTGTACAAAACATTAGGAACATCCTCTTTCCATGACAGACTGACCAGGTGAAAACTGTGATCCCTTATTGATGACACCTGTTAAATCCACTTCAATCAGTGTAGATGAAGGGGAGGAGACAGGTTAAAGAAATATTTATGAGCTTTGAGACAATTGAGACATGAGTTGTGTATGTGTGCCATTCAGAGGGTGAATGGTCAAGACAAAATATTTAAGTGCCTTTGAACAGGGTATGGTAGTAGGTGCCAGGCACACCGGTTTGAGTGTCAAGAAATGCAGCTGCTGGGTTTTTCACGCTCAACAGTTTCCCCGAGTGTATCAAGAATGGTTCACCACCCAAAGGACATTCAGCCAACTTCACACAACTTTGGGAAGCATTGGAGTCAACATGGGCCAGCGTAACTGTGGAACGCTTTCGTCACCTTGTAGAGTCCATGCCCTGACGAATTGAGGCTGTTCTGAGGGCAAAATGGGGTGCAACACAATATTAGGAAGGTGTTCCTAATGTTTTGTACACTCAGTGTATACAGTGCCTTAAGAAAGTATTCACACCTAGGGCTGTGGCGGTCATGAAATTTTGTCAGCCAGTGATTGTCAAGTAAGTAACTTCCGGTCTCACGGTAATTGACCATTAATTAACATAAACACATTTAGCATCTCCTGGCTTCCACGCATAGCCTACAAGCCACTGATGCAGACCTTTGGAACAGTCTAATAAATCCATGTAATGTAGCCTACACCATCACAATAAATCCATTATTTATTTTAGACAGGTCTAAGGAAACATGATATGAAGAAAGTGTAGTCTATTTCAGAAGAACAGAATAGCATACTCTGAGTTGTCCTTATGTTAGGCACTGATCTGGCTATGCCCTACACTAGTTCATTTAGCAGACAAGATTTGCTTAGAATTCCGTGGCATTATTTTAAAGTATGAAGAATATAATTGAACAAAGCTGAATAAATTGCGCACATGCGGCCATTCCATGTTGAGTGGTTAACAAAGAAACATGTACTCCTTTATGCTTAATTTAGTTATTTACAGTGCATTCGGGATGTAGTCAGACCCCTTCGCTTTTTCCACGTTTTGTTACGTTATAGCCTTATTCTAAAATGGATTAAATTGTTTTGATTTTTTCGTCGTCAATCTACACACAATACCCCATAATGACAAAGCAAAAACAGTTTTTTTGTATTTTCTGTACATTTATTAAATAAAAATAAAAAAACACAGAAATATCACATTTACATAAGTATTCAGACCCTTTACTCAATATTTTCTTGAAGCACCTTTTCGCAGCGATTACAGCCTCGGGTCTTCTTGGGTATGACGCTACAAGTTTGGCACGCCTGTATTTGGGGAGTTTCTCCTATTCTTCTCTGCAGATCCTCTCAAGCTCTGTCAGGTTGGATGGGGAGTGTCACTGCACAGCTATTTTCAGGTCTCTCCAGAGATGTTCGATCGGGTTCAAGTCCGGGCTCTGGCTGGGCCACTCAAGGACATTCAGAGAATTGTCCTGAAGCCCCTCCTGCATTGTCTTGGCTGTGTGCTTAGGGTCGTTGTCCTGTTGGAAGGTGAACATTTGCCCCAGTCTGAGGCCCTGAGCGCTCTGGAGCAGGTTTTCATCAAGGATCTCGCTGTACTTTGCTCCGTTCATTTTTCCCTCGATACGGACTAGTCTCCCAGTCCCTGCCGCTGAAAGACATCCCCACTGCATGATGCTGCCACCACCATGCTTCACCGTAGGGGTGGTGCCAGGTTTCCTCCAGACGTGACACTTGGCATTCAGGCCAAAGAGTTCAATCTGGGTTTCATCAGACCAGAGAATCTTGTTTTTCATGGTCTGAGAGTCCTTTAGGTGCCTTTTACGGAGAAATGGCTTCTGTCTGGCCACTCTACCATAAAGGCCTGATTGGTGGAGTGCTGCAGAGATGGTTGTCCTTCTGGAAGGTTCTCCCATCTCCACAGAGGAACTCTGGAGCTCTGTCAGAGTGACCAGTGGGTTCTTGGTCACCTCCCTGAGTAAGGCCCTTCTCCCCCGATTGTTCAGTTTGGCCGGGCGGCCAGCTCTAGGAAGAGTCTTAGTGGTTTGAAACTTCTTCCATTTAAGAATGATGGAGGCCACGGTGTTCTTGGGGACCTTCAATACTGCAGAAATGTTTTGGTACCCTTCCCCAGATCTGTGCCTCGACACAATCCTGTCTCGGAGCTCTACAGACAATTCCTTTGACCTCATGGCTTGGTTTTTGCTCTGACATGCACTGTCAACTGTGGGACCTTATATAGACAGGTATGTGTCTTTCCAAATCATGTCCAATCAATTGAATTTACCACAGGTGGACTCCAAGTTGTAGAAACATCTCAAGGATGATCAATGGAAACAGGATGCACCTGAGCTCAATTTTGAGTCTCATAGTACAGGGCCTGAATACTTATGTAAATAAGGTATCCGTTTTTTATTTTGTATAAATTGGAGAGAAAAAAAACTCTAAAAACCTATTTTCATTTTGTCATTATGGGGTATTGTATGTAGATTGATGATTGGAAAAGATGGATGAAATTATTTTAGAATAAGGCTGTAACGTAACAAAATGTGGGAAAAGGGAGATCTGAATTCTTTCCAAATGCACTGTATGTAACTTTAGTTGTGATACAAATGTTGGGCTATATGTTTTGATTTTTTATACATTCTAAGGCTGCATGATGTGACTAATCATGATTTGAAAAAAGTTGCATAAAAAGGCATGAGCTCTGCTTTGTTTTTTGCGCAGGCTGTACACACTTCAGTCTCTCATTCACAATTTGACAGCACTTAATAATGCCTCGAATATCCCGGCTGCATTCCCTAAGGGTGGCCGTAAAACCCCTAAAACAATTCATGCCTTTTTACGGCCAGTGGCTGTTGTGCCATTGGGCTGATATATAATAATTTGAATTCCCTTCTTCCGGCTGCGTGCCGAAGCACCTCTCACTAACAAGGCTCTCCATCACGTGATCAGGTCTTTCTCACAGGCTACAATTCCGAGGCGCATATTGAAGATATTGGAAGAACTGTCCACATTTACTTTTTGTCAGCCAACGACATGAGTAGGCCTAACGAACAGCAAAAGCACTAGCCTATGTCAATCTACTATCCCCCATTGTACAAACGTTGACCTATTCTATTCTGAGCAAGAAATAAATATTTCCAAACATAGTCTGGGACAGTTGTGGGATGCGATAGATCCCAAATGAATACAACCACTAGCATAAAAAATAACTGTTTTAAGCAATGAGCCTGACGCAACAGATGAGAACCTTTAGCTTAAAATGTTGATCAACTATTAGGCTATTTCTTCACATTATAAGCGCAGAAATGCGCACACGGCAGTAGGCTATAAGCGCAAATGTTCAATTAGCAGGAAAACACCATTCTCAAAAGTGACCGCAAATGCGATTATGCATGTAATGCTTTTATTGTAAATTAGCATTTTTATGGTGAAAATTATCTTCCCCAAACTTGAAACTCAGACGTTGCGTATCTATGCCAGTTAGGCTCTACACCCGTTGTAAAGCGGATTAATGCGTTTAATTTTAAGAAGTTATTTGGCCACTTTAGTTGTGATACAAACATATAGGCCTATGGGTTTGGTTACATGAGGTGTTGCAGAAAAAAGTAATGCCTGTTTCTTGCCTTAAGCTGGGCATCATTCACAAGTGAGAATATATCATTCACAAGTGATAGGCTAATATTGTCACCCATTAGACTATTCCTGATTTAATCTTGTCTTTACATATACTAAATAATATGTGTGAGAAATTTGTTTTGAT